TGAAGATATATATACACGTTTAAGCTAAAAGAAGTAAAGAGCTAAGTTAAAGCTGCAGCAAAACTTCATATTGAAGAAGTATATGCCATGTATAATCTAAGGATGGGCAGCAAATTTACTATTCCCAGGTGTTAGGCCAAAGCTCGCTAGCCTGACGTAGTCCTACTCAATTCTAGTCAGAATATGAGTCTGATACTGCTCCATAGAGCTGTGATTATGGGGCGTGTTTTGAACGAACCAGGAAAAAAAATGCCTCTGCACTTAATTGGATAGACCTACAACCAATAAGAGCAACGGAATACGTGACATATGTTAAGCAACGCATAGTTGTTGTCAACAAAAATCAAAGCGTGCAGTTGCACGCCTAGAATAAGAAGATGAGCCTTGATCGCGTTTCTCTGTTCCTCTTTTAAAATTAATTTGCTGTCGATATCTTCTAGAACAGACCTAATAGCAGAATCTACTCACCTCAACTCTCCAGCGGCAGCCATTGTTGTTGTCACCCAAGCGCGCATTGGTCACGTGGTTGATTACGTTACTGTTGATCATCTGTCAATCATCGTATAAAACCCGCCCTGACAATTTGATTGGCCAGCCAGATATTGTGCTAGGATACTCGCGCTACTGTTGAGCAATGCCAGACCGAACTTCCTGACCTCAAACGTTGTGGGCGGGACTAAGTTCGGAATGGCACCCAGGCTAAAAGCTTGCAGAGGGGAGGATGAAATCTGTAGATAAGAGGGTAGAATGACCTTGCTCGCACACAGACGCAGAAAAAGCTGATTAACAGTTGAGCATAAAGGCAGGAAGCATAGGATAGGAATGCAGGGAGTATGATCATTCTGTAGGACTGTCTGAGTGAAACTGTAAGATGTTCCCCTATGAAGATTATAAAAAGAGCCGGTGTTGCAGGGGGGGTCAGAGTGGCTGTTCGCAGATGCGTGCTGTTGATGCTCCTCTCCCTTTGCAAAGGCGAATCGAAGCTTTGTTGTCCAGAATTATTTTTATAACACTCCATCTCAGTTAAAGGAGAAGTTCGGTTTTTAACACTTTTAGCCCATTTTCTGTAGTGTCCAGGATGAAATCGAATGATCGACACCAAAATGTTGACAATTGGTCCTGTCTCTGCTTTTTGGCACATTTAGAATCCACCCCTGGCTGCTTTAGAATGGCTTCCATAGAGCATGTCCGATAATGTCCTTAAAACAACCTTAAACGTTCTTTTTTTTAAATATGCTACTCACCGGGTCGTCAGCGCTGTTCAATGACGTTCCAAAAAAAGTTTCGTAAAGAAAAAACGTTCCTGTAATGTTTTATTTAGCATTTTGTAAATCCCATTGAGTTCTGTTGGAATAGTCAATATTCCCCTGCCACCGGAAACGGAAATGGGGCCTGTTTACACAGTTGTAGTCTTTTCGCTTCACTCTGTGTACTCCGACGTCGAGAATCAAGAATCCACCTTTCGTATTCCATTTTCAGAGTTTTTTAAAGTGTTTAACAGAGACGTTAGCACCTCGACGTCGGAGTACACAGAGTGAAGCGAAAAGACTACAACTGTGTAAACAGGCCCCATTTCCGTTTCCGGTGGCAGGGGAATATTGACTATTCCAACAGAACTCAATGGGATTTACAAAATGCTAAATAAAACACTACAGGAACGTTTTTTCTTCACGAAACTTTTTTTGGAACGTCATTGAACAGCGCTGACGACCCGGTGAGTAGCATATTTAAAAAAAAGAACGTTTAAGGTTGTTTTAAGGACATTATCGGACATGCTCTATGGAAGCCATTCTAAAGCAGCCAGGGGTGGATTCTAAATGAGCCAAAAAGCAGAGACAGGACCAATTGTCAAAATTTTGGTGTCGATCATTCGATTTCATCCTGGACACTACAGAAAATGGGCTAAAAGTGTTAAAAACCGAACTTCTCCTTTAAGTTACCTGCACTCGAATTAACGGACCTGGGGAAAAACCATGACAGTGTTTTTTAACACTTTTGTTGTTGATTTTTGTTCCCTTTTCTAGTAAAATAACTTGATGAAGCCTTTTCTAACATCTAGATTATAAAATAAGTAATAAAGCCCGCTATGATTCATCCTAATATCGTTTTGGGTCAAAATCCTCAAAGCTCTAATATCAGTATCCTATCGGAAATTAAAAAGTTGTATGTTGGACATCCCTACTGCAGAAAGTGGTTAAGGTTACACAGATGACTGTAGGGAGCAGCATTCCCTCTACACCTAAAGATGCACGTAGGGTGAGGATGCTCTGCTTTTTGAAATACTCTCCCTTCCTCCACACAGACTGTTCCAGACTCACCGCTGAAGCAGACGACCGAGGAGCATCCAGAGCAAGACCAACTGAACTCCATCGGCAGTTAATTCAGCTGCAGCTCTTCTTAAATACCACGCTGCTTAAAATGGGACTTGAGTCCAAATCTCATGCCATAAATGTAAAAATGTGAGTTGGTGACAATAAATAAATCCTTGAACTTGAGAACCGATGGGATGAGTAAAACCTGGCCTAGTGGGGACGGTGAGAAGAGGGTCAGCCCTCCATCTTGTCATGTTATTAAACATTAGGCTCTAATTAATTGTCTCTGAGGTGGGGATTGAGTGCTATCTGTAAAAAAAAAAAAGGAGCTATTGAAAGGAGAACATAAGTTTTTATGCAGTTCATTCAGGCTGCATGAGTCAGAGAGGGAGAGAGTGAGTGACAGAGACTTTGAGCAGATAATAGGAAGGCCAAACAGAAAACATGGCGTAGTCTTTTAAAAATGAATGTAATGAACATTATTCACAAAGAGTCAGCTGTTTATGAAGCCTTAGCTATGCATACCCTGCTAAGCTAAAACAAGAAGCGAGGATCACTTGAATGTATACTTTACTTTGTACTGCTTTATTAAAATTAATTCTTCTCTTAATAAACCCTGAGATTTCACCTTTTCCTGCACTTATTTTTTATTTTTTTAAAGGCTCAGGGCAGAAAAGCTATAAAAACTAAAACAATTAGGTTTCTTTTTCCTCGACATCAACCAACACAGCCTAAAGGGCTGGTTATCCTCCCGCAGCAGCGCGTCGCAGTGAGCTTGTCGCAGGTGTGACGCATACAAACGTGGTCTGCGCTATGTTTCATTCCACAATGCAAGAGGGACAATCACGGACTAGCTTTGGGTCTAGATACGGCCGAGGAGGTGAGGATGTGGAAAAACAACGGGCAAGTTTGTGCGACAACAGAGGGACATGAGGCAGAAAAAGAGCAGGGATCCAGGTGGAAAAAGGGTCCCAGCATTCTTGCTTACCTCGATCTTCTAGCTGGTCCAACTTAATGAGTCGTTTTCCGCAATGTCAGTCATACAAACAAAACTAGCTGGTAAGGTACCAAACAAGAAATACGCATAATATAGAACTGATGTAGATTTGACCAATCAGAGGCCTCCTTTCTGCAGCACTGTCTGCAGGCACCTACAATTTGAGAGAGGTGCAGCAGAGTGTCTGCGGAGGGGGCAGGGACGTCTCTGCGTTCACCACGACACCTACGCGGAAGATCTATTTTCGAAGTATAAATCAGCCTTTACTCTGACCTGACTGAAACTAAAAAGAACTTTAACTACAGTGTTTTCCACAGGATTTTAGGAGACTGTGGTGGGAGAGTCTCTGACCCTCGGGGGTTTTGCACATTTTTAAGTGGTGTATTCCACTTAAAGGGGAACACCGTTTTTTTGGTTGTTTTTTTTTTTAAATTGGGCCCTTGATTTTACGTTATTACATCATGTTCTACTCACCCATATGAGTTTTGTGTCATTTGGAGCTGTTCTGAAGATATTCAGTTAGGTTATATCCAAGTAACGTCTTCCTTTGGGCAACGAGTTGAAGGCACAAACTAAACTGTTCATAATCTATTCTTTATGGTACGCCAGCATTCATAACATGTAGGCGAATAACTGTCCCCCAGACATCCACGGTTATATTTTTTATATTTATATCTTTTAAAAACGAAGCGGTGCAGGTATTACGTCATCCACGTGCGCCGGACTTGTCATCTCCAAATGAAACAAAACTCATATGGGTGAGTAGAATATGATGTAATACGTAAAATCAAGGGCCCAATGTCAAAAAAAAAAAAAAAACGCGTTCCCCTTTAAGTGCATTTTTGAGGCCACTTTTTTTTTTTCCTTGTGGTCCTTAAGGAAATCATTATCTTAGAGAGGAAAAACATAATGGACAAGTTGATTAAATGACTGTTGCCGTTATTTAAGATAAAACATTTCAAATTCATTTATTTATTTTAGACCAAATAACATTTTACATTTACATCTCGCTCTCTCCCGCGAGGGTGTATGCAGCATGTTTACCGTGAGGGTAAACATGCTATGGCTCTGACCTCAGCGCTGAGAGGGACTCCTGCGGGGTTGGGACGGGGGAAGCGCCCCATGGCAGCACCTGCTGCTGGAGGACAAGAGTAGGAACGATACGTGCTTTCACCTAAGAGTCTACAAAAGCCGCCAGTGACACCAGAAAAGTCGCTAGATTTTGTCGCTTTAAAAAAAAAAATAGTCGCTGGTGGGGTCTGAAAAGTTGCTAAATATAGCGACAAAGTTGCTATATTTAGGTGAACCGGGGCAGCATTTTTATAAAGGAGGGGGGAACGCGAGCTTTGAAAAAAATATAACTGGTGCTTGGAGTGGGTCTCACCCGGGGAATAGAACCGCCACAAACCATCTATGAGCATGGCGCGCATTGTTCCTGTCACTTGGTTACGGCCGTAAACAATTTGTCTCTCTATGGCACTGGGGTACCGGCGGTATGAAAGGTCTGATAAACTGACAGATCTTTTTGTTGTTGTTTTTTCTCTCTCTCTATATGAGACTGTGGTGGGCCCAAATGAGACTGTGGCGGGCCCTCATTCATTAATGGAAAACACTGAGCTAAGATACATTTTAATCTACATGCGACCAGAAAAGTCGCTCCATAGATCTCCGAGGCCCAATAGGATACATACCTGGGTCATTTGTGACAGAACCTTTGCCATTTTTCACGTCCACAACCCAAGTCGCCTGTTTCCCATTAGGGCCGTCCTTTACGTTGAAGGCAAACACGCCGCCGACCTTCTTGACGAGGTTCTCTCCCTCCTGAAAGAAATCCACAGAGTGTTTTAGAGCCATGTGGCACGTCACTCAACCTTCAGCGGGAGCGGACAGACAACAATCAGCTGCTAGTTATCAGACACATCAGACCAACACCCTTTCACAATGAAGAGAACAGCTGTTGAGCTCCATTTGTCAAACAATACCTGACAAGAACAATGCGTCTGCATCGGTTAAGGGAGATTGCAGATTGTGAAACCATCATTCAGAGACATCAGGACCTGTTTACACTCCTCTATTTTAATAACAATTAGGCCAGGGATGCAGCCATATTACATTTGTTTAATTATCCTTCATAGCAGCAGCTGCTTCTCTATTATGTAGTGGGAACCAATAAATAGGGACAGATTCTCTATATAATCAGTTCAACTTAGCTCTGTGCGAAAAACACTGAATATGCTTTACTTTTGGAGTAACTTCAAATTTTTGAGTACTTTTAAAGTAAATATTAGAATTCAACAACTTTTTCAACAGTTCTAGTGAAAGTTTAGGTTTTTATTTCTTAAAAATAAAGTCATGCCTTTTCATAGTATTTATACACCAGTTGTAAAACACCTGCAGTCACAGCTGCATGTCTCTACCAGTTTGGTGCATCTAGTGGGTGAAAATGCCCCCCCATCCTTGTTTGAAAAATATCTCATAGATTTGCCCCTATTTTTTTTTTTTATTAGGCTTAGGTTTGGGCTTTAACTGGGCCTTAAAAGCACAGTCTGATGTCTAAACTCTTCTATTGTTGCTCTTTGAGCTGCAACTTCAGCCACAACACATCTTAGTTTGTTTCGTAGTCTGCTTTCATGCATAGCTTTCCTGAGGCCGGGTCAAAGAGACATGGACGAATGGTTGTACAAAAGTTCAAATAAATACCAAATAAAAGATGACAGGGTTCCCACGGGTCCTTAAAAAGTCTTAAAAGGCATTGAATTCTTTAAAATAAAAAAAAAGGCCTTAATTGGTATTAAAATGTGTTAAATCAGTCTTTCGTAGGTCTTAATTTTTAAAACATCATAGGCTTATTTTTATTACGATTTATTTTTGTTTTTTTGTAATCTAAATAAAACATTGAAATTGACAATTTTTTAAAAATCATTATTAAAAAAATGATAACAGCCCGCCATTATTGGTTCCGTCCCGATAGCGGAATCAATAAAAGAGTTGTTGCGGCCGGGACATTTGGGAGATGCGCCATTAGCTTTTTGTCTGGAAAACATGAGCAAGTGTAAATGTAACCAAAATTGGCTCCAACCAAGAGTTTTCTCCATGGCTAAAACCAGGGAACATACATGAGGCACAGTGTATTTTATGCAAGAAGTCATTCAAGCTCGGAACGATGGGAATTAAGGCAGTGGAGTCGCACATGCGAAGCGCGAAACAATGCGTCAAAATCAAGTTAACGAGAAACAGCCGGTATTTCTCAGTTTTGTTCCACCCTTGTCTCTGCAACGCCTAAGAAAACGATACAAAGAAAAATAGCTGCAAAAAATACTTAGCACTGGTTATGTTGTGGCTTTAAAACTGATTTGTTTTATTCCCTGCTAAAACAAAGTTTGTGAATTCAGTTAAATAATTGTTAAAATATATCTGCCATTTGTGTGTTTTTAGCTCTCTTCCTGTATGGAAAGCTTTTAAAAATTTGAAACATTAGTGCAGTGGTTTATGTTAAAATAAACCTTTGGGTTAAGTTGTCGCAAGCGAATTTCTTGTGTTTCTTGTAAATTTGGTCTTAAATTTTTATTTCAAGTGGCATAAAAAGTCTTAAAAAGTCTTGAATTTAACTTGCCTTATGCTGTAGGAACCCTGGATGAAAGATGTTTTTTTTTTTTTAAGTTATTTCTAAAATGTTCAAATGTAGAGGGTCTTTAGAATTAAACCAGAAAAATAAACTTGTGGTGTGTACAGGCATCTTTTGTGGAATTTTTTGGCAGTTTTCTATGAGGCTTTTATTTTGTTTTTTGTGATCAATTTTTTATTGTGTTTCACATTTTGTACATTAGAGGAGGAAAATGTGCACCAACCACAGGTAGTCAAAATTTTGTACAGTATATACAAATTTGTGTCATCAAAAGTAGAACACCCTTCCTCCCCACCCATGTCTACACTCCCCAGCCCCTGCCCTCATTTCCACCTTCCCCACCCAGTGATGTCAAGGCATTAAAGAAATAGCAACAATAATAATAAAAAAATGATAGTAAGACTTTTATTTTGTTTATATCAATAATGGAATTATATTGCATGGATCAAAATGAAAAAATATATCTAACTAGGTTTTGACCGTACTCTCCAGCCCTAACTGCAGGCCAGCAATGCAAGGCATTGGTGAGTAAAGAACAGATGTGTTACCAGAACTTCGTGGAAAAACCAGACCGTCATGTTTAACATTTAAAAACTACGGTTTTCAACATCCAATTAATTCATCCAGCAGGAGGCACTGGGAGCTGTTAAAAAAAGCATCAAATTAGCGACTGTGAGAAACTTCACACAGCTGAGGTTTATAACCTAGAAACTGGTTACATCTGATTTAAACTTTTTACTTAATAAATTATAGTTAGGTTATATAACAAACACACTTGATGTGTCACCATTTGTGTCAACAGGGTCTTATGTGAGCGTTCATCTCGACCCATCTCTCTCATTTGGGTAACAGCATTTGATGACGGATGGTAACAGTGTGATGAACCTTAAGAGACCTTTAAGCCTTTCAAGTTTTCCTTAGGAAAATTGTTTGATTACAGTAGTACAAGAAAAAGCACCCCATGTAATCAAGTCTGGCTTTTTTTTAAGTGCATTCATTTCATTTTGTATAGAAAGTTCCCTTTAAATGCTCAGCTCAACACATTTAACTTATTAAGCTGTGTATACATAAGCAGATAAAAACCTTCTTTAGATGGTTCTCAATCTCCTTGAAGACAGGGTAAGCTTTGAACGCTTCCAAGCCGCTGCTGCTGGAGCTGCTGGCTGCAGAACCAATGACAAACCTGAGAAAGGAAGACAACAAAAACCTTTAAGAATCAAGAAATGTATTATAATGAAGCTCCACATATCAGCATGATCCTGCCAATATAAAAAGCTAGAAATCCCCTTTCTTTACAAAGAAAAACATGCATCCTGAGCTATTAAGTTACCAGCTCCTAATGTAGCTCTGCTAATGTTAAGGTGCTCCTTTTTTGTGACATTCAGTTAAAACAGCCCTCAAAGCGCTGCTCATCCTGGTTTGTGCGACCATGGACTTCACTTGCGTCAGTACAGAGTTGAAGCTTTTACTGCTCCACAGGAGAGCAGACTAAGCTGCACGATGCAATTAAAAGTCTTCCTATTCAAATCCAGGGACCACTTATAAGCAGATCTCACTTTCTCGCCTGAAATGCAAATAGATAAGAAAGCTCCGACGGTGGAAGATGAAAAGGATGATACGTCTCTGAAGGTAATACAGCAGTGTGACCGGATCTGATAGTTAAACAAGCTGAAAAAGGCCATGTTTCAGACTGACTGCAGTCAGAGAGGGAGCAATAAATTGGAACTCTTATAATTAGGCTACAGGTAGGGAAGATAAAACTTGAAGCTTTAGGGCTAAGGATTAAACTGCAAGATCCAGGGGATACAGGAAAGATTAACAGCTTTAGGAGTATAAGGCTGGTTGTTTGTCAAAAGGTACTTCAGAAAGAAGAAATTCAACACAAACCCTTGATTAATATACATCAACGGGGCCTTTGAGGGTGGCAAACCGTGCCTTGCATAAGTATTTAGACCCTATTTTACGAGCAAATCTAAAATCTAAGGTGTGCATCTATTTTTGGGTCGGTTATATATTTTAGGGGTGTAAATAATAATCGTTTTGTATCGATGCATCAATCCAACAGTCGACGATCCGATGGATCGATACGTCCGCAACAGTATCGACTCATGATTTTTTTCCCTTCTGTCTATTTTTATTATCCATTTTGCTCCTGGATGTAATTCTTCCTCCCGTGCTGCGGTGGCGCTAAACCTATTTTGCCCTCCTACCTCGCTTCCTGGTTGTAATCAAACTCAAATTTATTTGTATAGCCCTTTACAATAGCCACATGGTACCCAAAGTGCTTTACAACAAAGCAATAAAAACAATACATAACACATATAAAACATACAAGATTCAATTAAAAGTGCTGTAGTGGTGCAGTGCTGCAGGACATTAAAAGCCTTCCAGAGGTGCATAGAAAGGAGTAGACAGAAAGATGACATCTAAGAGACAGTATTATCCTAGTCAGAACTAGAAAAAGCTGTTTCGGAGAAACATCAAAGTGGGAATGCTTTTGCTGAATGAAAAAAGCTGAAATTAACTGCAGAACATATGAAAATGTGATAGGAAGTCATCAGAAACTTCAAACTGCAGAAAACAATTGAATCATCTGAAGATTTTGTAGGGTAGAATCATTTGGCAGTAAAATGGCAGAAACAGACTCATCTTAAAAGCTGCACAGCCAAACCATACATGATATCAAAAAATGTCTTGAATGTGGGCACTAGAAGGGTCTTAATATAATGTCTCCCAAGTTTCTAGAAAAATGTATAAAGAAATTTTGAAGGGGGGTTTACCTACTTTCCAGAAACATGTCAGGCGTGTTATGAATTAGCAGCAAACAGAAAAGCTTAATTCCTGTCCAGAAACAGAGCAGAATGAAGCCAAAGTTCACAACATAGGCTGAAAAGTATGAAATTAGCTGAAGTAGAAAAGAAATTACAAAGAAAAACTTTAATCTTATCTGGTTGAAGAAAAAATTAGTAGCTTAAGGATGGGAAGTAAAATGTTGAGGACGATGGTATTGAATAAGTATTAACATTTTGAAATCATATGTGGAAATGTCAAGACTTGGCAAAACAATTGGAAAATTATTTAAAATGTGTCGGTTGATCAGCATAAAGAAAACAGTGTCATCCTTAGAGGATTGAAAATCTACAAACCTATGTGCAAGACTGACCATGAGAAGCAGAGGAAGGACAGAGAGAGAAGCTTATAGAAAGAGAGCTAATACCACTTAAGGAGCTGAATTTATAAAAAAAATTGAACCTGCATGTTACGAGCCGCTGTGGTAATGAAAGCACCGTTGGCAGGCTTAGGCTGCATGTTACAAGGTTAGCAGATGCTTTATTACAGTGTAAATCTTAGAACCTGATTAAGAAATATGCACTGAGGTGTGTGGTCAACAGGCCTTGGTAGTGTAATTTGAAGAAATTGGTTGACTTTGGGTCATAGCTACAAGCCATACGGCACAATGAATGAGTGTGCGTAAGGAAGAGGCTTTTATTTTGTAGGTTCCCTTTAGTCTTATTTTGAAAGTCTATCATGGATGTGTGTCAAGGGAAGGGTCATGCCCAGCAGTGATATAGAATCCATTTCCAAATATGAAATCACTGGTTTTCCATGTTATTGGGTGAATAGATGCTGTATTAGAGCGTAAATGGGAGACTTTTATTGTGAAATTTGCTCTGGGTCATAATGCTGAGCCATTTGCATCAATTAATAGGCGAGTATAATATAGAGGCTTTTATTTTGTAGGGTCACTGGAGTCTTATTTTGAAAGTCTAGCAGGGTTGTGTGTTGAGAAAAGGGTCAGACCCAGCAGTGATACTTGATGACTTTCCAATCGTTAAATTACTCTTTTCCCTTGTTATTAGGGCAGTAGATAAAGTGGCAATGGGAGGCTTTTATTTTGAAATTTTCTGTGGGGTGTGTTTTGAAAACCCCCTAGAGTCTCATTTTTAAAAAAGTGGTTGAGTTTGGGTCATAATGTTGAGCCATATGCTGGGAAAAAAATATGAGTTTAATTTAGGGGCTTTTATTTTGAAGGGTCCCCGGAGTCTTATTTTGAAAGTCTATCAGGGTTGCGTGTGAAGGGAAGGGTCATGGCCAGTAGTCATATTGTATCCACTTCCTAATGTTAAATCAGTGTTGTCTCCCTCCATTAGATTAAAATGTGCTGTTTAAAGTGGTGGAGGTAAAATCTCTTTGAAGCACGGTTACCTTGACAACGTTAACGAGCCTGTCAGTGACAGAGAGACATGCGCTTCACTTTCGTTCCTTTCCTCTCAGGCTTTTTTGAATGGGAATATCAGCTCCGAACAAACGAGTGCTGAAGACAAACCGTAAATGGTATCTAAAAAATTCTTTCAGTCTAAGCGAGAGCTATCCTTTGTCTCCAATTGGGGTAACTTTCATGGATGTAGCTCATTCACAACCTTAATGGGAAGGAGGAATAAAAAGGTTTGAGAAATCCTGCTGGTCTCATTGAATAACATGCAGCACAATGGTAGAGCAGAACTCTCAAAAGCAAAACTTTCCCTCCGAACAAACGAGCGGTGAGCCAAAACCGTATTAGGTATTCAAAAAATTCTTTCACCGTGAGCGTCAGCCATCTTTGGACTACAACTGGTGTAACTTTCATATTTCTACAATATTTCGTCTAGGCGTGGTGACGATGTAAAAAAGTGTATAATTGTCAAAATCTTGATTTTGGGGTTCGGACAGATTTGTTACCCCCGAACAAACCTTTTTCCTAGCTAAACGATAAAAGATATCGACACACTTCCTTCAATGTGAGTGCTAGGAAGGTCTGAGGAACAACTTCCACAAGGCTCATGTTGCTACGTCGAACGGTTCCCGAATGGGAGCGATACGAAAAAGTCTGTTTTTTTGAATTTTCAGTTCGGATTTTCAGAGAGCTCTCATTGGATTTCTATTGGGGAAGTGTGGACTTCTTCGTGGTCTGGGCCAAACTGTCGGAAAACCGTAAATGCCACACAAATGAGGGTTACATTTCCTGAATCCTGACAAAAATCCCTACGTTTTGATGTAAAATTTATCTAGATAGAGTAAAAAATGAGCGAGTGAGTTGAAGCTGTTCGGCATGAGTGAAATGTTTGAAAACGCTAGAGTGGCACACTCTAGCAGCTGAACATTCCGTCCATAGACTTCCATTATAAATCTGAAAATCTTTAAAATTTCTTTTAAAGTTTGAAGCTTCACTGAAGCAAAACTGTAAAAGTTAGCAAAAAGCTGAGTTAAACAGTAATAGCAGAAAGATACGGAAACATTTTAAAAGTTGAATGGTGTTTCTAGCTGAAAGTATGCTGAAGTAGTTAAAGGGCAAAGTAGCTGAAGATTTAGTGGAATTTTTGAAGTTTTACATGTATTTCAATGGGACAGAAAAAGTCATAAAAAGCTAAATATTTAAAAAACTATAATAGCTGAAGTTACCAAAAGATACAGCAGGATGGACCAGAAGAAGCTGAACGTTTTGATACCAAATTTGTTGAAATCGGCTGAAGTATGGGGAACTAGTTAGAGACGGAAAAACGTACGGAAAGTATAATAATAATAACTAGAAAAAGCTGTTTCGGAGAAACATCAAAGTGGGAATGCTTTTGCTGAATGAAAAAAGCTGAAATTACCTGAAGAACATATGAAAATGTGATAGGAAGTCATCAGAAACTTCAAACTGCAGAAAACAATTGAATCATCTGAAGATTTTGTAGGGTAGAATCATTTGGCAGTAAAATGGCAGAAACAGACTCATCTTAAAAGCTGCACAGCCAAACCATACATGATATTAAAAAATGTCTTGAATGTGGGCACTAGAAGGGTCTTAATATAATGTCTCCCAAGTTTCTAGAAAAATGTATAAAGAAATTTTGAAGTGGGGTTTACCTACTTTCCAGAAACATGTCAGGCGTGTTATGAATTAGCAGCAAACAGAAAAGCTTAATTCCTGTCCAGAAACAGAGCAGAATGAAGCCAAAGTTCTCAACATAGGCTGAAAAGTATGAAATTAGCTGAAGTAGAAAAGAAATTACAAAGAAAAACTTTAATCTTATCTGGTTGAAGAAAAAATGAGTAGCTCAAGGATGGGAAGTAAAATGTTGAGGAAGATGGTATTGAATAAGTATCAAAATTTAGAAATTGTGGAAATGTCAAGACTTGGCAAAACAATTGGAAAATTAT